CGTTGACTGTGTACACATCTCTGTCGAGTGCATCTGTCGGCGCCCTAACGTCACGTCACAGCGGCGAGAGTCGCTCGGCCGCGGCGCACCGCTGCGCTGCAGCACCACACACGGGATCGGAAATCATAGTAAATTGTTATCGTATTGCGATGTATTTTTAAGCCGCTTACCGATACTTGTCGAATGATATACGATGTCTGTGTACTTTAGCTACGATAATTATATTGATTTCTCGCATTTGCCGAAATACTAAACACATAATATGTTTCAGATGACACGAATACATTCAAATGTAACATAAACAGCGACCTTCGACATGAGAAAATTTGAAAATTGCAACTGCCTTTGGAATAGCGAAGTTTATTAAACATAACCTCGATATCATCTTCATCGATCAGCATATGTCCTGTGATGTAGCGGGTGCTATTCCACTCCCCGAAGACGCAACGATTTGAGCTGAATGTTTAATAACTAATAAGCTATTTGTGAAACCATCGAGTGCGCACATCTCCGCGGGGTGTCACATGAGCACGCGGGGCTTAGGAATATTATTTACGAGGCTGCTCTCGTGACAGCGCGACGGTGCGGTCGCCCGTGTGGCATCACCCGGCGACGACTCAGGATCAACACGGCGTGAGCGTGTGTGTATGTGTGCTCTGCACTCGACTCTACTTCTTATATTCGTATTAATGTAATTGAGAAGCAATCCTTGAGAATAGTCATTTTAGGGTTGCCTTCGACAAAAACAAAATAATGTCACATAGCAATTCTTTCTGAAACCTAATTATGTTTTCTTGTTCAGTGTTTAATATAATGCGTGAGCGCCAAGATCCAACAACACTGCACTGGACAGTCTGGTGTCTGTACCAGAGTCTCTGTAACAAACAAACTGGAACACCTGGATGAAAGAAAGCAAATTAGAAAATCTCGACCTAATCCGTCCTACTCGTATAAATGAGATTCCTCAGAGCGGTTGTTGTACTCGCAGACTCGCGTCTTCGCACTCTCGGAGTAAGGTTCGTCAGTGACAGATAGCGTGACGTCTTCCGTCATCATCAGCAGCCAAAATGAACACTATTTAAATCTTAACAAACGTACTCATTATAAAACTAACTCTCATACATTTATTACGTTAATATAATGATCGAAATGAAAACAATTAGACAAGTTTCCTATCTTCTGATTTTTTTTTAATAATTTCGGTGGTAGAGCCCGCAATAACATCATTTGTAGGAATGAACCAGCTCTAGGTGCAATAACACAATATGAAATACAAACTTAAAATAAAAGTAATTCTACATTTCATGTGACGTGTGTGTGCGGGATGTTGGCCGCTTGCTCGTTTGCCACCTTATGCAGAAATTGTAGAAAAAATTGTGGTTGACACGAACTTCAACGACAATCTCACAAATGTTATAAACGCGAAAGTTTGTAAGAGTTTTAAGTTTAAATTGCTCAAGGAATCTTGAATCGCGGAATTGTGATTGCGTAATTTCTCTAAACAGGGGTAAAGGTAAAGTATTTTTGTATGAATATAAATATTAATGTTATTGAGTATTTAACACCGGTCAGGTTCGTAGTCGGCGCGGGGACATCGGGCATCGGTGCCGTGCTCATTATACCTACACATTCACATGTCCCCGTTGCGGCGGCCTTCACATGTTGTTAGTTATACAAATCTCTTTCCGTGTAAATACTTACAGTTATATTGAGTTTCTGTATGAAATTAAAGCGTTTTGATTGTTTTTTTTTTAAATATTTAAGCAGCGTGTATTAATTAAATAAAAATCAAATCAAACTTTTTTGTGTTCTTTTATAACACAAAGTGACATCGAGACATTTGACATAATTTAATTTGAAAGTCTTCTTCTAAATTGAAGTTTTTACGACAAGATTTAAGTAATACGGTCATTAGATCATTACAATTGTTTAAATTTCACAATTTCATGACGAAGGAAATAGTTAAAAGATTATTTTTGCTAAGTTTTTATCAACTTCAAGTGTTACGGCCGGCAGCCGCCGCGACCTCACGTGAGGAAGGCGATAGTTGAAGTGACTCGTTGATGTCTTTTGCTTTTATTACATATTTCCAATCTGTTTTGTGCTTAATCTCGTGTTCACACTTCACTTGTGAAAACAGATCGCAAACTAATCATTCAAAATAATCTCGCTTCAAGTGAAGTGACAATATAAATCTTTCATACTGAAACTTATTAAAAAAAACCTAGGTAATCCTCATTCACTTTTCTACGAAATATTGATTTTTTTGTTTATTCATGTTCTTCGAGTGTTTTGTTAAGACAGTTATGTTTTAAACATTACCAAGCACATAAATTGACTAATTATTTAATTTTACTTTATAAAAATTATAACATATTGTAGATGTGAAAGAAACGTATAAAACACAGGCATAATAATTTACGTGTATGAAAGTTAAAAACAGAGAACAAATAGTAAAAAAAAAAAAACAAAAATCCGTGCCAGGAGGTTGTAATTCCTCATTTATAAAAACATAGTAGGTACTACTTTTTTGTCAATTACAAAAACATTGAGTTATACCAATACCGATACCGATACCTATAGCTCAGACCTTATTAAATCTTCTTTTCACGCTGAACCGTGTTTATATAAGGAAGATAAATTGGTTTTTTAACTTCGATAGACTTTAATTGTTGAGTTGTCTCACCTTGTGCTGCGCGATGTCCGAGGATGTTGTCGATGGTGTAGGCGGCGCC